GAACGACGAATCCGGTGGAACGCAAGCCCCCTGGAATATATCGCGACCAGACTGCAGTGATTTATTGGCCATGCATCATCTCCCTTCCATTCATAAATTCATAAATCTCCTCCAACCCCAAGTCGCGCTCTCCCCTCTCCACCTACTGCGTTGACGGCACCACTAATCCAATCCAATCCATTAAATTACCGTTACAAAGCTATAATTAAGGTCGAGTACAACTACACTATGTACGTGCGTGCGTGCGGCGATATATATGTAGGATAAGCCATATGTATAATGCGAAAATTCCAGTCGTCGTGACTCGTCCCGGTCGTAGTTTTGGTCGTGACTCGTAGGCAGTCGTATCGTCTCTGTTCGTTGTTATAATCGTATCGAGTGCGAGGAGTGAGGAGTGATGAATATGTATGGATTGTGCATGTGAGGGATGAGATGCGGACGTGGATGTGGATGCAGATGGGGTATGGGGAAAATGCGGGTGTATGAAATCCAGATGAGAGGAGACTATGTGCGTGCGTGCGTGCGTGCGGAATGCGATAGATAGAGATGCAAGAACCGGAACCGAAAAGAGGTATGTATGCATGCGTGCAGGGATCCGATCCCAAACCAAAATGAAAAATCATAGCAAAGCGAATTAAAAGAAAAGGAATTTTTAAACCGCAGGGTGGGATCATGGCGGCCAAATCGGTGTGGGCGGGCAGGAGGGCGAGTCACCTACTAATCGCTCTTTGCAACCAACACCGCGAACCACCCAAAGAAGCTCATCAAGAACCGCACCAGCCACGCCCCGTCCGCGCCGACGCCCAGCCCCGGCCTCAGCTGCATCGCCAGCGCCGCATCCAACGGCGAGCGGTACCGCACGCGGCGCTGCTGCGCGGCGCCGGGCTTGTCGAGCGCGCTCGAGGTGGCTTTGGTGTTCTCCTTTGTGGAAGCGTTTGCGTTCCCGGCTTTCTCCTCCTCCTTCTCCTCCTTCACACTAGGCGAGGTGGAATCAGAGGGAGATTTGGGCGCGCCAGAGCCAGAGCCAGAGCCAGAGCCAGAGATTGACGCAGGGAAGGACGGCGCGGACGCGGAGGCGCTCGCGGGGAACGCCCCCGGTACGCTGTGCTCCGGCGCCGCGCGCGTGGAGGAAGGGAGCCCCAGGGCGGGCGCGGCGGCGGCGCGGCGCGACCACGCCGGGGTGCGTCTCGCGTTCGAGCTCGTGTGCGAGTCGGCGTTGGAGTCGGCGTTGGAGAGGAGGTCTGCGATGTCGGTTTCTTGGTCTTCGTCCACCTCGTCCTCTCCCTCCGCCGGCTCGCCTGCGTTCTCCGAGGCGTCCAAGGGGTGGGATTTGGCGGCAGACCGAGGAGGCAACAACCCCACGCGCACGCGCGCGGCCTCTCCCACCTCGAAGGAAGATGAAGAGAGCGACGAGAGCGTCGACGAGGCCAGATCCTGCTCGCGCGTATCCACATCCACATCCGCCTCGTCTTCTTCCTCTTCCTCTTCATCTCCTTCGGCATCGGCCTCGGCATCGAGTGGGGTGTGCATATCGACGTGCGGGTGGAGCGCCGGAACGGGTACACGCTCCGCCTCCTCCTCCGCCTCCTCTTCCCCTGGGCCGTCCTCGTACTCCCCGGCCTCGTACACGTCGGCGTCGGCGTCGGCATCGGCTTGCCGAGCAGCCCACGGATCCCTCCAAACGTCCCGCATGCGCACGTCCCCCGCCCACGCGTCGCGCATCGCGGGGTGCAGCGGGAGCGGCAGCTGGGCCGGCAGCGGCGAGGGCAAAGGCGAGGGCAAAGGCATGAGCGGGAGCGGCAGCTCCGCGGGGTCGTCTGCCTCCTCGTCGAGGGACACCAGGCGCATCGCGGGCGACGCGAAGGCAACCGGGAACAGCGGGAGCGCGAGCTCGCCTGGGTCCGCGCCCTCCTCCTCCTGCTCCTGCCCCTCCTCCTGTTCTCCGTCTCCGCCCTGGTCTTGGCGGTGTTGCTGCGCCCCGTCTCCGTCTCCGTCTTCCTCTCCCTCTTCCAAGGGCAGGGACAAAAGGGGGGGTAGAAGGGGCGACGGCACCCACACGGGCTCGACGACGTACGCGTCCAGCGGCACGACAGGGCCGTCCCACGCGTGGTCGCTGCCGTCGTCGCCTTGCTCCTCTGGGCTCGAGCCCCCTTCCTCCTCCCGGGCCTCCGAGTCAGTGCCAGTGGGGAACAGCTGCAACGCGGGGGTGGGGAACAGCCGCGGAGCGGGAGCGGGAGCGGGCGAGGGCGCGCTGTACGACGGGGGGCTGCGCTCGTACGCCGGCACCGACACCGACACCGCGGGGAACGGGAACGCGTGCATCCCGCCGACGACTGCGTCGATCGCACGCGCGGAGGGAAGCGGATCGTCTCCTTCCCCTTCCTCCACCGCCTCCTCTTCCTGCTCCGCCTCTTCCTGCTCCCGCTCCGCGTGCGCGTGATCGGCGGGGTGCAGCGCATGCATCCCATCCACGAGCTCGTCGATGGCAGACGCGCTCGGGAGGGCTTCCTCTATTGGCGACGGTACCGACGCGAGACGGTCTGCGGTGGCAGGCGAGAGGGAATGCATCCCATCCACGAGCTCGTCGATAGCAGACGCGGTCGGGAGGTCGTCGTCCTGCTCCTGCTCCTGCTCTTGCTCTTGCTCTTGCTCGATTGGCGCGAGACGGGACGAGAGGGAATGCATCCCCCCCACGAGCTCGTCGATAGCCGACGCGGTCGGAAGGGCTTCTTGTCCCACCACGGGCTCCGAATCCTCCGAGTCGATCTCCCCGGCACCAGACTCGGCCTCCGGCATGGGCTCCTCGTCAAGCAGCACCAGCGCGGGCTCAGGCTCACGCACCAGCCCCTCTCCGTGCGTCGGGGCAACGGGCTCAAGCACCTCCTCGTGCGTCGGCGTCGGCGTCGGCGACGAAAATGCAGGAGGGACCTGATATGCAACGAATAACGATGAGTATCTATATATTTGTTCATGGCAAAGGAAACGGCGTACGGCGTCGTCTTCCGCTGCGTGCTCCTCCTCCTCCGCCTCCTCCGCCTCCTCTACCACATCCACCTCGACCTACAAAACCCGAATTAAATCAGCCAGATAAACACACCCATGACCGCCTAGGCGACGTACCTCTACCCCGGGGTCCGCAAATGGGTTTTCCCCTTGTGGTCGCGGTCGTGCGGTGAGCGGGGTTTCTGCATCCGCGTCCGCGTCGGAGGCGTCTTCCGCGTCCACATCCTTGGCCTGCAGAAAGCGAAGAAAAGAAAAAGAAAAAGAAAAGGAATCAGCGTCGGTATCGTGGAATTCCACGTAGGTATAGAAAAAACCCACCTCGACCTCGACGACCGGGTCCGCAAACGGATCCTCTTGTGTCTCCGGGAACGCGTCCTCCGCACCAAACGCGGGCAAGGCCAAAGGCACGTCATCCTGCATCGCGCGAAACACGCCCGGCGCAAAGCGTGCCGTCGGCGGCGGAGAAATGGGTGGGGACGGGAGTTGCTGGGGCGGTGGAGTTTGTGGTCTCCGCGCGATATCGATATCGATATCCCCGGTGGATGATGGCTTCCCCAGATCCACAAGTACGGGATCCACAAGTACGGGCGCGGGGGTAGCAGCGGGAACGGGTGTCGTAGCAGTCGTGGTATCATTATCGTCATCATTGTCATTAGAGGTTTGAATGGAGGGGAAGAAGGAGGCGACGGCGGGGGAGGTGGGCGCGGTCGCGGCGGGGGTGGGCTGCAGCGCGGGGTGCGCGAGGGCCCAGGCGGCGGGGGAGGGCGGGACGGAGACGTCGACGAGCTCGAATCCGTCGTCGGGGGGATGCGACAGGTCGACGAGCGAGTGCGCGTGGGAGTGCGGGTGTGGGTACGGGTGGGGATGCGATACGTCCACCAGCGACTCCGAGTGCGCGTGTGCGTCCTCGTGCGATACGTCGACGAGCTCCTGCGCAGACCCTGACACAGACGCGCCGTCAGAAAAGGACGACAACGAGGCCCAGCTGCCCATTAGTCGATCGCTGGCCGCTAGATCGACTAGCGGGACGGCGTCTTCGTTCCCTGGTATCCGCAGCCCCGGAGACGCAGGTGCGGATCCATGATGTGCGTCGGGAGGGTGAAACCGAGGTAGCACAGGCCCAAGAGATTTCGCTCTCCGTCCGAAAGACAGCCCAGATCCAAGGCCGAATCTACGGCCAAAACCAAGCTGAGAACGTCCACGACCGCGACCACGGAGCGTAGCAGTGGGTGCGGGCGCGGTAGACCGCGCTTCGCCGTTTGTGGTGGGCAGAACAGAGCCGCGGATTGGCCGCCGTAATGACTTCAAGCTCAGGAACACAGAGCCAATAGTGTGCCGCGCGACGTATCCCAGGAGAGCCAAGAGACCAAAGAGCCAGGGAAGCATGGGCATGAGCGCTCCAGAGGATGCGGGCGAGAGACCCAAAGGGAAAAAGGGGAGGAGAGAAGAAGGAATGAGCATCGTGTATCGTGTCAGTGATTTGAATGCCCGTGCAGTAAGGACATGGGGCGGATTGAATGCACGAGGGTGGTGGAAGGCGCGAGGCAAGCGCGTGGACGCCACGACACAAGTCGCGTAACCTCGGCCCGCCCGGCAATCAACACTCAATTTCTGGTTCGATTTTTGGCATTTGCTGTCATTCAGCATGTCAGGTATGTGCGCATAAAGCGGGTGTCGTGCATGGTGCACAGCAGCATTTATAACCAGAAAAGAGATTTCTTATTATAAACTGTCCAACCGCGGGTTCGACTCCCACCACCCACATACTGAGGGCCGGAATTTTTTTGGGGCTGGTTGCGTTTGATTTATCATTTAGGGCATGTTCTCAAATCGACCTGCCTCTCTCTCTATTTCCCCGCAGTTCGATATCCATTTCATTAATTGAACCACGAGCAGAATCCGAATTCAACCACAGTTCTTGGTTCAAATAACTCCTCCCAATGCTCTCTCCCCTTCGTTTTGCCTCTACTCATCCTCCTCCATGCCTTTGCTTTTAATCGGGTGTAGTGCATGGTACACGGCAGGATCGGGTACTTGTTGGTGAAGCACCTTCGGGTTCGACTCCCGGCGCTTGAGTAGTTGATCATACTCTCTGTTTTTTTCTATAGGTGACTTGGAACTTTCCGGAGCCCGAGGGTTTGTGAAATCCTGATAATCGCGACATCCAAATACTTATCGAACACCCAGTGAAATCTTGGACCGCCTATCGAGCCATAATTTGATATTTACTCCAAGGTAGTTGGGTGTGGTGCGGAACATCGCAGGATCACACACAAGCTATTGGTGCCCAACTTGCCTGCTATAAATCGGGTGTAGTGCGCGGTGCACGGCAGCATTGCATGCAGAATAATTCGATTGCCTTATAGGCTGCTTGTCTGGGTTCGATTCCCGGCACCCGACTCCGGTGTTTGGCTCAAATATTTTTGATTTTGAAAAGGGAGGGCAAAATACTTGCGGTGGGCACTAAACTGGTCCAGCTCAATTCAACCGAATTTCATGTTCAAATCAGTTCTGCTCTCTCCGATGTAACTCCCTTCTAATCATTTTCTTCCCTGCATTCAAATTATATACCATTTAATTGGGTGTGGTGTATGGTGAACGGCAGTATTGCGTGCCATCATTGTTTAGGGCCTATTGCTGCAGATCCGGGTTCGACTCCCGGCGCCTGAGTAGCTCACTCCTTCACTTTTTGTATGGGTGACTTGGGAATTCAGGACTTTTGGGCCCGTAGGCTCCGCGAAGCGTATGTGTATCTTTCGAAATCCATACCGTGACGTCGACAAAATAATCATATCATAATTTAAAGTATATTGGAGTACAACTCCATCCACCTACCGCAAGCTTCCCAAGTGCGGGTCAATTTTCTTATTCCTTGACGTCAAGGCGAGGGTACGTACGTAGATACAACAATCGGGTGTATTGCGCGGCGCACGGCAGCATTTCATATAAAAAAGACCTTGGTCTCTGTAGTATACTGTACAATTTCGATCAATTCGGCTCCGGAAAGTTCTAAGTCACCTATAGAAAAAAACAGAGAGTATGACCAGCTATTCAAATGCCGGGAATCGAACCCGAACGTGCTCCATCAATAAATACCCGATCCTGCCGTGTACCATGCACTACACCCGATGAGAATCGAATGCATGGGGGAGGATGAGTAGACATAATTCGAGGGAGAGAGCATTGAGAGGATCAATTTGAACGAAGATGTGTTGTGGTTAGCATTCATGCCATGGATCACTTTGAATATTGAACTGCGTGGAATACAGAAAGGGACAGGCCGAATTGAGAACCTGCGCTTTCTCTTTCTCAAAAGAGAACGCCACCAGCGCACCAAAAAACCGATTCTCAGCAAGTATGTGGGTGGCGGGAGCCCGCGGTTGGACAGCTTATAATCTCTTGGTATAAAATATCATGTTAAATGCTGCTGTGCACCATGCACGACACCCGCTTTATAGGCTCGTACCTGACATGCTGAATTACGAGTACTTTAGTAATCGTTCATAATCTTTGTGGACCGCCATTTTTAGTTCGCGCGTTTTTACTGTCCGCTTCTATTGACGGTGATACTTTTAGTGGCAGTGCACAAAATTCATTAGATTTTGGAAGGCCCACTAGTGGCTGTGTGGTAAACCTGATTCAATTCGGTTTTTCATTAGATGCTAATCTAATGGCTCTCAAAAATTTGTCACTGTGGCTGAGCATTTTCTTACATAACAGATTCCGATTTTTCTCCCAGTTCTTCAAATGTTTCTGTATTAAAATTTCATTTTCCCTGCACCATTCCTTCATCACTGAACTATGTTTTTGCTTCCTTGGATATCTGCTGTTTATATTTGGTGTTTGCCAAAGGCCCACACAAGATTGTCACTGCCTGTGTGATGTCACATTTCAACCCAGGGCACAAAATGGTCCCGCAGAAGCAAATGAATTAAAATTACTCCCGCGCTCTCCACTCAGCGGCGCCTGCCCCACCTTTCGATGTTGAAAACCATCTTTGAATTCATTAATGTATGTTGACATTGGTGTAAGAGCTAAGCTCTTTGCTAGCTTTCCTTTGAATTAAAAATATTCCACGAAATGAGTACATATGTCAGGTTCCGGACCCTGCGCTTGCTTTCGCGTGGCAAGGAGGTCTTACGCGAGTTTTCGTAGCACATCTCCCGCAAATTCTGAGAAGGTATTACATCATATCAAATACCATGGGGATCTCTACGACAAGAGTCAACGAAGTCGTGCGAAACTCAGTGTATGCATCCCCCAAGAAACTCGTAACGCACTCAATAGAGGCGTTGAACAGCGGTTTTCGAGCTGCACGGGAGGTAGAGACGTCAATGCGTGGGCAACAAATCCTGATTCGATTTCCTCAGCAGTGGCGGGCAACGGGCGTAAAATAAAGAACGCACCGGCGATGTCAGGTAGAGAAATGGTCGAGATGGGCAGATCACCATTGCCAATAATGGTGAACTTCCCATTTACCTTATCATAGCTGCCGATCATTGGGATGTATTCCGTGCAAAATCTAGTCTGTAATTGGTTCGTATTGTTTCCACTGCTACCACCTTCCCAATTTGGTTGACAGAATTCCAAGGGATTTCAAGTGCGCAGCGGCATCGTTCTTGGCCTTGAAGAACAGGCTCAGATTAATGTAGCTCGGCGACCCAAACTCTGAGGGCACAATCAGCTTCGCGGTTGTGAGCTTTGCCGCGTCCGCGAGCGACTTCTGCGTGTGGAGACCATTGTGGCCTAAAGTTGAGAGAATAACATCAACTGTGTGCTCCTTCAGAACCGCGGAAACTGCGGTGGTTGGTATGTCAACCCGTACGACCTGAACATTTGATGGCGCTGTTTTGGTGGAGCCCGGGCGCGACAGGAGTATAACACAGATGATTTCCTTGGGAGCAAGGGCACTGAGGAGTCCCGATCCCAGCCTTCCAGCCCAAACGACGGCAAACGACTTATAAACGGACATGTGAATGAGGTTGGTAGAACTGGAAATTCTAGATCCTGGAGCCCAATGAAGCAGACTGCGATCCCGTACCGCAGTTTCATTCCTAGGGCATTGACAAGTCCGTGTGTTTCCACTTCGTAACTCAAAAAATGTTTGATTAACTTAGAGGTGGCGTAGGATGAACTTTCGTGGAAGAATGATCGGTTGCGCACCGTGCCGCAGGCGCCCACATTGAATGTCATTCATTTGTGCATGTGAAGCTCGGCCGTTCAACCGGGGCACGAGCTGACCCCCTTGATACCTGAAGGGAAAAAAAGGAGAAAGGAATAATGAGAACGACACGCAATGTAGAGAAGGAGGGATCATAAGGACATCGCCCAACAGACTGGACGACGCCGAGGCACCGGCGCAGATGATCGCGTTTCACTGAGAGCGATTGCAATTCTGGGGAATATGCCCAGGCTTGGATTCACCAAGTTGCCCGCAGATGTTACTTCTCTGAGGGAGAGTACCGGAAAATCCGCTGAAGAGCGGGCAATAATTTTGGCTGTGAAATCATACCAAAAAGCAGGGAGATAATACGAACCGGGGAATGGGGTTTCGGCAAAGACCATGCCGCGAGGCTCGCAACCCAAACGAGGTAACAGAAATTGCCGAAGTCCGAGGATTCCGAGCCTCAAGGCTCGCAACCAAATCAATGCGCAGTAGAAATTGAGCACAATAATCTCTTATTGGCCAATACGCGCCACCGGGCTGTGTGTTGTCGAAAGGTTGGACGGTGGCGTACGGGGATCAACAGCTGTCAAAAGAACAATGGGATCTGGCTTCAAAACGGTCAGGTGGTTACGTAACACAATGCGAAGTTGGGATCAATTGCTCTGGGAACGCGGCACTAGGCTTCCCCGGACGTGTTTGGACGTGTCTGGAGATGGCCTCGTGTACATGCAGTGCAACACTGCCTTTGAACCAAAAGAATGGTACATTTCCGCAGCCAATGGCGAGATTTGGTTGGAAGAGAAATATTGCCAGACAAGGGATATATGCCCAAAGGAGGGCTCTTTCTGTATTAAACAGGGACATTGGGCCTTCAATTTACAGAAGTTGCAGTTTATTTAGGAAAGACAAACAATAGGGGTATATAAAGAGCGCAAAATGTACTAGATAAAACAGAATTCTATGCCCGGGTTTTTACCTGTGTCTTGTTATCTCTCGCTTTTTGTTTGATTTTTGTTTTGGTTTTGTTTGGACTGGTCGGATCGATTTGGATCTCGATCCCAGCACCCTGCACAACTTATGGAGCGTCACCCTAACACGGAAAGACCCTGCGGAGGATCGTACTGGTTGTTGCTGGCAATGCCAGTGACTGTCCTATGGTTTTGGTTATGGATTTGGTTGGTCTGGATATTGGATGGCCCGATGGTTCGGATTGGGGTTATTGTTTGGCGTTGGTTTTGGTTGGAATTTATGTTGGTGGGAAGGTTTATTGGATGGATTCAATGGCGAGGATGGAAGAAGAAGCGTTGGAAGGATATTTTGGTTTACATCATCACACTCGGCGGTGCGCTGGTCGCGCTCTTGCACCTGTTTCATCAAACACCCTATTTATCGGCAGTCATGGCACACTGGTCCTCTTCGACACCACTCAACTGGATTGCAGCACACATATACTTTGTGTGGAGCCCCGAACTCATGCGCATTGGATTGGTTGTGTTTGTTGTTGGCAGATGGATTTCTGCTTTCACACACGCACACCGAGCCCGCGCTTCACAGCATGCAGCCCCTGCCTGTGTTCGTCCGCTTTTGTGGGCTCCAGCCTCCGGAAAAGATGGCATAAAATTGAAATCAGAGACCATTAGAGTAAACTTCAAGTAAAGGTCTAGTTAAAGTTGCAGAGATTTACTGTACTGATTCTACTCTCGAGAATTGGTAGTGTCAGATTGACAGCTGCTGAGCTGGGTGAAAGAATAAAACTTTACGAAGAGGATTTGGGCGTGTTCATGCATAGCGTCCTTGCTTTTGTTGAGTCTGCCAGGAGGATTATAATAAGTTCTGCATTGAGATAGGGATACTGCTACGCTTTGCAGACCGACGCCGCTGTGCCCGACGCTGAGGCTGCGCGTCGCTG